TATTTTAAGTATCTTATGGAAGTTGTATGAAATAAATTTGAAATTACAGATACTGAAAAAAAATATATGTAGGAAAAGTATTACACTTGAGAGGATTTATTTTCTTTATTTTTTTATCATTCTTGGGTATCAGAATGTGATGTAAAGTTTACCTGGAATTCCCATCACCTTGTGGGTTACCTGTAAGATTGGAATTTTTTATTACTATTGGAATTGGCATGTAATTTCACATGCACCCAGGCCTGAGTAGATACACATAATTGGAGCTAGAGAACCTTTTAGCTAGAGAAGCCTACAGATCAAGAGAACAAAATATAGATCCAAGTAAGCTGACCAAACTGAGATCAAAGGATGCACTGCAGCAGGTACATTCATGGCACTAGAAGCGAGGACAGTGAGACTTTTGTCTCTTGTACTTCAGACATGTGGTCAGGAGAGACCAGTCCCCGGAGAAGAACATCATGCCTGGTAAAGGAGAGCCAATGGGAAAGAGGAAGGCCTTCGACAAGAAGGACTGACACACTGGCTACAACAATGGGCTTACACATAAAAACAACTGTGAGGAAGGTCCCGGCAGTGTTTCCTTCTGTTGTACATCGGGTTGCTGTGACTCGGCACTGACTTGACAGCATATAACAGCCTCCACTAGGTAAGGGCATTAATGAAAATTTGTGTAGCAATTTACAAGTTACGTAAACATTAGTAAAGTACCTTTGTTATGTATAAAAATCTAATTTAATCTTTGTGAGAAAGGCATCATACAGTGCATGAATAATTAAGAATTTACTTTGGTAATAAATGAAAACAAAGCAGAATTCAGTGTTCTGCTTTCAGGTAATAAAGCGGGAACACAGGGGAGTGGTGGTTCATTAATAAGGCCCATGTAGCCATATCCCATTTTGGAGGGAGTTCTCTGCTAAACTAATGGACAGGATTAGGGCAGATTGAGACTTGACTTTAGTAGAGGGTGTAAACCAAGGAACCTTTAAGACTACTTTATTAGAGGGTGTGATTTTAAGCACCGTCCTCTGTTTCTTTGGAGGTTTGGTCTGCTAAAAGACAAAAACCACATGTTGTCATTTGAGTCCTAAGAGAATAGGGGTAGAGTTTAGCCTGTCAATCAGATGGCATCTTGATGATCTCATTTGTAGGCGCTAAGGAGATAAATAGCTCATTGGAGGCAGCCACACACTCATTTCCCTGTGAGACATAATTGACGACGACGAAGACAAGCCTGATGGAGCTA